GATTACCATGTACAGGGACGCTGGACCCGTTTTCCAGAAGGTGCTGCTCCCCAGCAATAGATGGAGCCCTCCCGAAGGCGCTAGCGGTGCCTGCTCTTACCAGCACCCCTAGCGCCAATGGGGGTGTTTCTTCCAAAAAAAAAAAAAAAGAGTAGTGGTAGGTAGGTGGTGTGAGGTAAAAGTGAAAGAAGAATGTAGCTTACTTTGCTACAATAAAAAATTATAGCAGGAGATTTCAGGATGTAGCAGACAGCACTGACGGAGAGGTTCAACCCCCGAAGTCCTGCAGTGGGTATGGCGTGAAGTACGTATCGAAGGGCATACTCACAAGACGACTTTTTTATGTAATTTTGGACGGAGCTGTGGCCAGATACATCCAGGTATGGTGTGAATGCGGTCAGATACATTTGAGATACCCCTAGTGTGAGTGGTAGAAAAAATTGTGACTCCCCTGAAGTTTGGCTTACTAAAAGGGGAAACTACGCGGGAGTCACAAAAATGAGTTATAATTGCACTATGGGCCAAGATACAGTTTTGAATTGCAGTTTGGACAATGTATACAACCCAGCTTTCTGGCCAGGTACGGTGCCCGAAGTGCAATTGCAAACTGTATCTTGCCCTGTAGTGCAATTATAACTCGTTTTTGTGACTCTACTGAAGTTACCCCATACAAGGGGAAACTACGCAGGAGTCACAAAAATGAGTTATAGGGGAATCTAGGCGGGAGTCGCAAAAATGAGTTATACATACCTTTCTCGGCCTTTTGGCTAAGATCAAGTGCAGTATCTGTTCTGATCAGTTTAATATCTAATCCGTGGTCCATCGGACCATTTGGAGCAAAAAAAAAAAAGAAAGAAAAAAAGAGTTATAATTGCACTATGGCAGTAAGGCAATCAACCGATTTGACAAACATTCACAATCTACGAATCTCAAAAAAAGCACTCAAAAAAAAAAAAAAAAAAAAAAAAGCACTCAGGCAATCAGCCGACTTGCCGAACATTCCACAATAGATCTATATAATATAATAAATGAATAAATATTCAATAATAGATAGATGTAAATATATTGTATTGTGTGTCTGGCCACATTCCAACCACTGATTCAACCATTGATAAACCTCATCCGTCCATCGATTCAAGCTTTAACGAATGGATTCCAAAAAAAAAGTCAGGCGATCATAACCTTAGCCTGCAACCCCCGCCACCACCACCCACAAAAAAGAGACAACTTCCCCC